GAAATTCTGCCTTTTTTAAAGACAAAAATTTTTGAGGCGAAATACCCAAAAAGAAGTTTGTAAAAAAATGAATCCGCCTCAACAATATAGAACTTATCTACAATATAAAATTTGTTAGTTTTTGAAACCAGCTCATGGAAAAATGGCGTTTTGAGTTCATTTCTCTTCTTTCACTGCTAGATTCAACCCGAAGAATGGAGATCGTTCGAATGTGTATTAATTGCAATAGAACATGAATTATGGTTTCCATTTTGAGATAGAGCGTTAAATTACGTACTTTCTGTGCCAAATATGGTCCTAAAAATGTTTCTAATTTTCACTCAAAATGCGAAAATTCAAAATGAATGCGAGTCTTCAGAATCGCACTAATTCGTTGGCTCGTATTAAGCAAACTGGTTGAGTTAGAAAACTCTAGTTTCACTTTAAGACCGAGTGTTAAATGGCGTACTTTTTTATGCCAAATATCGTTCCAAACTGTTTCTCCTTTTCACGCAAAATGCGAAATTTCAACATGAATGCGAGTCTTCAGAACCGCACTTATTGGTTGGCTCGTATTAAGAGAACCGGTTGAGTTACGAAATTCTGGCTTGAATATCATTCTAAAAATGTCTCTGCACTTAAACCCAAAATTGTTTCTGGCCTTCTCCTGTTGGAAACCGTTTCGAGTTTCGAGTTTGGACGAATTGACTGAGACGCCGAGCCGGGATTTTTTCTTGTTGCCATGATGAATTCCGCTCCCGTTTCGCTGAAACTAAATGTGACGAATTTTTTATGGCCGCGCTGCTGCTTTCCGCTAAATGATGCGCTGTTTTTGTTGTGCCGCCTCCCTAATTTCGCGTCCCGTTTTTACATTTTTATCGTGACAGCCCGTTAGTTATCTGGCAAGTCGCGGTTGATGGTGCAAAGCACATTCCTGCTGGCTGGTGTTTCCACAACCGCACCAGCCACCAGTCCTCCACATATATCCTTAGCCAAATTAGAAGCAATTAATTTCCCTGGAAAGTGGAACGCCAGACATTTTTCTAGTCTACAACCGGCCCAGTTTCCCGTTAAAATACGGGGGAAATTAGTCAAACTGGCTTATGGGTGTATGTGTGTCTCGCGTGCATAAAAAATTGCCCACGTCTGTTCTTGTGGCTTTATTGGAATTGTCCCGCGGATATATTGACTTGCTGATTAACGGCCCAGCAAAGAGGAAATTAAGCAACGCTGCCATTCTCAAGATTCTCTAGGAATGTGAATTCGTTGGCGATTTTGTAATCAGCGTTTTGCGAACGAACGACATGGACCTCTGATCGAGATCGATTTCGCACTTAACCGTAGAGGATTTTCCAGGTTTTCCCGATTTTCGTCGGCGTTTTTAGCGAGGGCCCGAGGAAATGCCACTGCTAGCGATATGCAATGGGAGCCTGTCGCGGACGGGATCTAATGCACTTTCGGATTAAGTCGATTCCGTGATACCGCACGAAAGTCAACCGATTTTTACCCCTTTTTTCCCCGAAAACTTTAATGGACTCCAATGCCTAAGAGCTTTTATTTTTTCGCATGCTGTCCCTGCCAGCCAACTTTGATTAAGATCCTGCACAGAACTTAATTATTTTCCTCACTCGTGCCGCTGCTCTACAGGTTTTTTCGTTTATTTCTTTGGTCACGGCATCGGCCATGGATCTATTTCGTAATTTTTGTGCCTCCGCGTGAACTCACGCACGAACTCAACAAGAAAAAACACTCCCTTACGAAGGCACGGAATTCGAGAAAGTATACAGATGCTCTGACCATCGATGTGTTAACTATAGGGATCGTTCGCAGCAGTAACGCAGTTCAATCAGGACTCGATAAGCCCGGAAAGTTTCCATGATTTTTCCAGTTACTAAGGCAATGCGATTGGCCGTTGGAAAACACACATTTTTCAAAAATTTAACAATAAAAAGCCTAAAGTCCCACAGTCCGGCTCATAATATCGGGCAAAAAGTAAAAATGCGCTCCGTTCAGTGTGGAAAAACGCACTTTAATAGGAAATTTCTGGGCGTTTCCAGGATTTTTTCGGATACTAAATCGAGTCGAGTGACCGCTGGTAGACACGAGAGTTTCAAAAATTCGACCAGGAAAAACCAAAAATTCCTAAGTGTGGTCCATAAGATCACTCGAAAGAGAAAACCTGCAGCTTTAAATGAGGAAAACCTCGCTTCAATAGGAAATTTCTGGTAGTTTTCAGGATTATTTCAGATACTCAATCACAGCGATTGACCGTCGTTGGTATAGATAGACGGATTTTAAAAGAACTGCCAAGGAAAAACCAAAAATGTCTCAACTCTGTCCAGAATATTACTTGAAAGAGAAAATATGTGGCCTTAAATGAGGAAAACGTTATTTTAGAAATAAAAAAAAAAGTTTTTTTTTTATTCGCCAAGGTAAAACCAAAAATCCCCCAATCCGGTCTATAAGATAACGCTAAGGCGAAAACTCCGCTGCTTTAAGTGAGGATAAACTCACTCTATGGAGGAGTTTCCCGAACTTTTTCTGTTACGAAGAGCGAGATTAATCGCATGTGACCATCTTTTTCTTTTGCCTTTTTTTACTCTTCTAATTGGTGTGCTGGTGTCTCCAATAACCAGAAAATCCAAGGAAAATCCAACTTTGAATTTCTCAAGCCAAGCTTTAACCCACTAAATGCACTAAAAAATCACGTATGATATGCACACTTGCTCGCATCGCATCGACCAATTCGGTAGAGGTGTGATAAACGGTTATTTTTCTGTAACAGGTTAGAACGTTCCAGTTTCACCTTGGCAATAGGTTTCAACATGCGGTTCCAAAAGGAACATATTACTTTTTAAATTTTCCATTAAAAATGCAGAATGATGATAGTAAAAATAGTGATGATATATTGATATATAATGATTTCCCTTATTAAAAACATAATTCTTAACATAGGTTAACTTAAAATAAAATATTGTAAAATTAAAAAGAAAACATGTGTCAGAAGTAACTACTGCAAGAACAAAAAAGCTGATAAAAACAAGAG